CCTCTCTCTCTCTCTCTCTCTCTCTCTCTCTCTATCTTTTTCTCTTCTCAATTCCCATCATCCTACATCCTCCTCAATTTACAATTTCTTCATGCCTCACGCAGCTAAAATGGGGGAACCGGTCGTCAACGGCGAGAAACACTACTCTCAGTTCCTTGACGTAAGTATACCGCCCCACCGTAGCCCAACTCCCAAACGCAGAACCAGAGAATCAGCCCATACTAATTAACCATTCCCAAATCTAGCATCTCACTTCCTATCCCATCATCTCGGACTCCATCTCCTACTACAAGGGCAACCCCTACGGAGCCAAGTCCCTCGAATACGCCGACCAGGGCTACACTCGTCTCGCCAAACCCGTTCTGCCCTACTTTTCCACTCCCTACAGCTATGTCGCTCCCTACCTAGCCCGCGCCGACTCCCTCGGGGATAAGGGTCTAACTCAGATCGACACCCGCTTCCCGATCATCAAGGAGGACACCCAGAAGCTGCGCGGCTCCATCTACAACAGTGCTTCGCTGCCTGTTCGCGTCGCCGGCAATGTCAAGCACCATGTCTCCGATATCTACGGCTCCGAGTACAAAAAGTGTGGTGGAGATGGTGTCTTTGCTTCCGGAAAGGCTTTTGTCACTACCAGTTTGGTTCTGTCACAGGAATCACTAGCTTGGGTTAGCACTTTCCTCCAGAGCAAGAAGGAGGAAGCAAAGGAGGTTGCCAATGAGAAGAACCGCCGCTGATTTTGGAGTTTTTTGGGGACCTTTTGAAGCGATTTTTTTTGGGTTCCTTGTTTTCTTTTTCGTAGTCTTTTGGAGAAAATATTACCTTGTCACTGCTGTGTGTATGTTGCTCCTCTCAGGTCCATCGATGTATGTTGTACACAGTACCTCGCCACCAACTTGCTGGATTTTAAAACACACAAAATTCCTACTTCATATCTTTGTAGATGTTGTAAAGCATGCTCTTTAATAGATCACCAAAGCTAGTCATCGAAAGAAATCCGACCTCGAAACGCATTTGCTCTGAAACAAAGAACCATCGATCAGCGCCATGCACGGACCTGCCCCAATGGAGTAAAATCGTTCTATCGCGTCGCGTCTCCCCAAACTCACCACCCTCACCACCATATCTAATCAAAATGTCATCAAATCGCAAAAGACGGGTATGCAATGTCAAATCCAATGGATCAGCCCTCAACTAACCTCAATCTCTTCCCCAGAATAACGCTGCATCTGAGACCGAGTCAACCCCAAGCGCTCGTCGGCGCAGAAGACAAAGCGAAGAACCCGACTCATCGTCCGCGCCAGACAGCGACGGGGATGGGCCAAGTGCACCGTCCAGCACCGATGCAATGGTCAAGAAACTGGTGCGACTCGCCATAGCAAGCGAGTACTCGCGGCTCCCGATCCGGCGCAACGACATCAGCGCGAAGGTGCTGGGCGAGCAGGGCCCACGGCAATTCAAGCTAGTCTTTGACCAGGCGCAGTGGGAACTGAGGCAGCGTTTTGGTATGGAGATGACCGAGTTACCGGCGCGAGAAAAGATCACCGTAACCCAGCGACGGGGTGAGTGGGATTCCATCTTGCTTTTGCTGCAGACTCACGCCATGTCTTAGAAATCACCTGCTGACATTTCTTTCAAAAGCCGCGCAGAGGACTGAAAAGTCTTCCTCGGCTAATAAGTCTTGGATCGTCACTAGCAC